TACCCCAAGAGGTAGATGGCTTAAGACACGCTAATTCTGTTGTTCACTCGAAAACTTACGATGCTGAAGTCCCTAGTCACGGATCTGGAACCAGCGAACTAAAAATACAGATTCATCAGCAGTAGTTTTGGAGACACCCTATACTCTGAACAAGGAAGATGTGGCGCATTACAATCCCGCACTTAGGCACCAACATGTACATCGATTCCTCTTCCTCAAGTTCTTTCTTCATCCCCTGGGAAATCTCCTTGATTCCGATGGGTCGACATCCAGCATTTGTCTCCGACCTTCGTCGCAGGAAACAAGAAACACTCCACACCCGTGTCTTCGCCTTGTTGCGGTGCTTCGAGTGTCGAATCACAGGGGCGCTGACAATCGCTGACGGCGCCAACACATTCTGTGGCTGCCGCGTTTAGCGGCGAAGTGCGATTTCACATCCCGTACAGACTTCATCTCCTCGGTAGGCGATGTTCACTGTGGGGCAGAGATCCTAACCCTTCAAGGTAAGAATTAGACATCCACCGCAACCAACACTCTCTTCGCGAAGTAAAAATCTCCTGATGCGAGTTCCTTCGCGTAAAATCCGGAAGCCAAGACGAAAACACAACCAAAATTCTTCACAAATTCACGTCCCTAGCCACACAGTTCATAATAATGCACTGTCTTCCAATTCCAGTTGCGCGTTTCGTAAGCAAAAACCGTTCATCACAGCGCCCTGCACAAGACCCCGCCTTAACCGAGTTTTTTGGTTGGTCGGTCAAGACATTCCCCCCTGAAGATGGCAACCGTGAAGCTTGTCGAAACGTCAGAAAACCGACGGAATTCGACGCAGCTCGTCCACAATAGCCGACGTCACACAAGTATTTTACGACGAACGCGGAATTATTCCCAGTTATTTAACGATGCTGTATCACCTGTTCAAAGTTCTTTGAAGATGAATGATGAGGTGAGTGGTAAAGGGAAAGGAAGTTCCCCGAGAAAACCTTCGTTAACTGCACTGTCTAGAGTCCGTAACTAAGTGAAGCAGTCCCGCTACACGCCATGTAGGCGCTCGGAGGGAGAGGTTTTATACCCCCTGCTCCTACATCAATTGAAACAGAACTAAACAATTACCTTTGCCTTTGCTGTCCCTTTCGAGTGAAAGTGATCTAAGTCCACGTTTCTTCTGAGCCGTGGTTCGTTACCGGCGAAGGCGTCTCCTGACGTCACCGCCCACACTGGAATTTCTGTGCCCTCCAGAGAATGTTATCTGCCGCGTCTACAGACCCCGCGACTGGGCAGTCCACGGTCCACGAGTCCCGTAGTTTCAGAAGTTGACGTTGAATTCGGACAGGGCGAAGGGCATAATCCGTGAAGCCACCAAACGAGAAGCACCACAAATGAAAAAGCAACTTAATCCACCCTTTTGTTCCTTCACCTCTCCCCCCCCCCCTCTCTCTCTCTCTCTGGTTCAAGTCGCTACTACATCAGACCGACAGATCTCCCGTCAGACCAGGAGTGTCAAACTCGCGGCCCGCGACCCACATTCAGCGCTCTTCGAAGATGTTTCAATTCCTGTGCTGTATCGTAATTGAGTCGAGAGCACGCGAGTGTCTTCAACATTTGTGAATTACGCTTGTCGGAAGACAGAGGAACAAGAGAAGGGCGTCTTGCTCTCAAGCTTCGAATTAGCAAAAGAAGGCGCTGATGATGGTCCCCGGAAGTCAGCTCCTTTCAGCCGGCACTCACCAGACACAGAGTTCGACATCCTACTGACACGCACGAGTATAACAGTCGCAGAACGCCACACTCCAATCTGCAACGCAAAGTCGACATACGAACAGGTCTGACGCTGCGCCAAAAGAAGGCGTAATCGTGGACGACGTTTGCTTCTGCGTTGACGGAACGGGAGTCTCTGACGTTGCAGCCAGGTTGACGAAGAAGCCCGGCGGCTAAGAGAACTTTTTCTTTTTGCGAGGGCGATCGTCCACCTGCACCCCGTACAATTCTGGAATGTCCCGTCACAGACCAAACACAATTGTCGCAAACGTAACAGCGCACAGAAGCCAGTATAGTTAGTGTTCCGCGCGCTTATAAATCCCTCCTGCGCCCCAAAGTAACGGCGCGCTTTGACAATCAGCGCCAAGACGCGGACCTCGCGAGAAGTCGAGCAAAATTCCGGAACTGCGATGTATCCCCCGGATTGAACTGACGCCATCTTCGGCTTCGTACGAATGATAAGGCCGCCCGACGTGTTGGAATTTAATACCGTCTCGCACACTCCAACTTCGCCAGCATTCCACTGAAGTGCAAATGAACTTCCCATCCAGCACTGCCACCACCCAGTCGATATTTCACTACCCTCAGTTTCCACTGCATTTACAAAGGAGGGTGGTCCAGTCTCGGCCGAATTTCCTTCTACCTACAACAAAGTTTTCTCGACTTTCCTCAGTCTCTCCAGTCAAATATTAGGACAATCAAAGACGAACCTAGCGACTGATTCTGAACAGTTTCAATCAACTTACCTCGGCAGTCGCAGCTTTAAACCTGTCTCTTTAAAACAGCGTCATTAAATAACATAAAATCCTTCAACTGCAGGCAACAAATGTTTACTTCGCGTTAAGCCTCTCTGATTCCCAAGGACCCAGCGCCCTGTTCTACAGTCTTTTCTCTTTCTTTCTTTCTGAGTAAGCGAGACTCAGGTTACCGCCAGCTTCGATTGCCCAAATACAGTCAGGGCTGCCAACTTGTGCCAAAAGGAGACATTGACTGGTTCCTTCCCAATTCTCCATCATGATCAATCCGCTGGCTTCACTGGTCGTCAGGCACGCGGCACTGCCAACTGTGGAATAATTAACTACAACACTAGCGAGTTCTTCTTCATCAACGCAGTCTGTACCACGTGATTGGAAAGTACTCCCTTCCATGATAACCGCGGTTCAGAGTAACTGTGGATTTGTACTCGAAAAGAAGGGACAATGGAATTCTAGGTCACTGTGTCGTGAGGTGTGACGAGGAGAAATGCGACAGACAGACAGACAAACGCCGACAGGCCCATAAGATTTTCTTAGGCCACGCCCGGGCGTGAAGACCACCCGCACAACAAGTCAGACGTCCACCCGGGCACCAGATAAGAGTTTGAACCAGTAACCTCCGGGGTTGGCGCGGTTAGAGACCGCGGAGCCACTGGTTCGAGACACAACCAGCAGAGTGCGCACGCGCGCCAGTGCAGACACTTCTTAACCTACGCCAAGTTACGTCGACCCGAAAATTATTACCGCTTATCTGAAGCTGGCGTCTTGACACCCTCCACGCGCACTGCCTGAGAAACGCCAACGCTATTCGGAGCCAGCACAGTGACACGTTAAACAACGGACGCCTGAGAGATAAGACGCGCTCGTACGTGCCCCAGTTCATGCCGGAAGGCGCACGTAGCACGTGGCATGGCGGAAGGAAGTTTGGAGCATTCCATTCTGTCTCAAACTTTCGAGGCCTTACCGGGTGAACAGCGACATCATTCATAGAGGAAACTCACAAAGACTGTGGCAAAAAAGAGAGAGACTATAATCATTTTGGCATTTTAACTGAATTAACAAAATTATAGACATTTTAACAAAAAAAATAATTATTTCTGGACACGAGGGAGGCGACCCTTAATGCAGTGACACTGTAGCAGGGAATTGGAAAACCAGAAAAAACCCAACAATTCATCACAACACACCGGATGCTAAAGAACAGACTTCGAGTCAAGAGCAGTTGGTCCAGCTTCCGTCGCTACCGACAGAAATTTTCCGGAAAACTTTTTAAAATGTCCTTGCACGTATCTTTCCTTCAAGCATGTTCAGTAAGATAAAGGACTGGGTAATTACGTAGTATTTTCTATAATATTGGCAAATAAAGGAACCATTTTCATACTGCATGGAAACACGCAATCATCACATTGTCTTCATCCTCTTTTACCCGGAGGTGTCGAGGTACACATTCATTTAATCCTATTAGACATTCGGTAGGACTCCTTGGATGGGTGATCAGCCCGTCACACGGTCTCTACCTATACAAACACAGAAAGACGCGGACAAACATCCATGCCCTGAGTGGGACTCGAACCCACGGTCCCAGAGCCCATGGGCACGAAGTTTGCAGCACCACGGGGTTCAGGTACACACGCAGATTCGACACGTTTCGAAGGTTTCTTTGACGAACGGGTAATTCGGGCGCAGTAGACACCGTTACATGCAGCTGTTTCGTGCGTCGCGAAAGAAAAGTGTCTGAGCATATCGGGAGATGGAAACTTCATTTGCTCTGAATCACGTAACTAATATCCTTCACGGCGAGGACAGTGTTCGCGCGACAAATGACAGGGATTCTGGTGCAATTGTGAAAACTGCTCCATACGCCGCATTCCCGTAACACACGACTTTTGAAAAAAGAACCAAAATCACATAGCCAAGTCCTTCTTCAAAAGCCAAACGCCTTTCGGCTGGAAGCCTAGTTCATAACAGCCTGACACCGATCCTACCATCTATGTCTGGGTCTCCCAAGTTGTTTCTTCCCAGCTTGAAAAAGTCTGGTCGTCCCATGCATGCTACATGCCTCGCACACCTCATCCGTCTGTATATGCTCACCCTTTTGAGCACAAATCACACAGCTCCTCCTCGCCGAACGGCGTTCGCCAGTCTTCTGTCCCGATGTCACCAACGCCCTCTTCCGTTACATGACCACAAAGAACAGACAAACATAACTTTTTTCTAATTTAATAAAAGTAGATGTGGTGGACTCGCGTGGTTTCGTAAACGACCCATTCAATTAAAACTCAGAACAGATTTGAACAGGCGCACATTGCTCTGTTCCTGATTTTAAATGCGACAAGCAGAGTAGGTCCTACAGGTACCCGGAAGCCTGACGCCGACTGTCATGCTGTCGTAGGCTAGGTGTGACTGAATTACGAAGGCCACTCGTCCCACATTAGGTCCGAAGGCAGTTTTCAAAACAGACGTACAAAGGACAGCATCACCACTTACATTTCTCGACGCACAGGATTTGAGCTACAGGAGGATGCACGACTCCGTCAGATGTACGTCCCGTCGGCAAGATCTAAAAAGAATAAAAACTGATATTAAGAACAGATTACATTCTATAAATGCACAATCAGATCATAAACTGTTTTCGCAAGTAATTTCCAAAACGATGGAGACCATGAAAGGCCTACACAAGACGACAACGTCGTGCAATGCTCCGAAGGCATAACCAATTACAAGATCCTGAAGACAAAGAGATGTGACGAGCGATTCGCTGTTAAGCTAATCACAAGAAACTTCGTGGTGCCTCTACTTTCGTCAGGGTAATGAGTTCTAGGAACGTAGAACGTCGGGATTCTAGGAATAATATAAGCGACTTTGCTGGGGAAACGAGCACTTGAAAGAACGACAAGGAAATGGGAGAAAATCTTTAAGCCGTCTTAGGGAGACGAATTTTCAGGACAGGATGACCCTGGATCAGTATCGTGTTCAATGGCGGTCTTCGGCGTCAGTGGAGCTGAACATTCGAGTTCTCCTGCCACGGTTGGCTATTACCGTGCAAATAAACAGACAGATAAATTGACTTTGGTGCCTGCATGTCATTTAAATACCCCAGAGGAACTTACACCACTGAATTCGTCTGAGCACTGAACCGAAATTAATACGTAACACAAGATCACAATGAAAATGACGATTTAATCGCTTCATGCCCCGTCCGAGATTAAAGGGCACGTCCCGTCAACTTACAGAACATCGGAACGCCGAGTCTGAACGTCTCGGAAATATTTCACGACAGCCTTTATAACGGGGAGGTCTGTCGTTAAAACTTATTGGGGTTGCGAAGGTGGCACTTAAGGACAGGCCATGGGGGGGGGGGGG